GGGGCGGTGGCCTGGCGCGCGCGACCCCGACGACGCCGGCGGCGGCAGCAGGTGGGCACCGTGGCGCAGCTCTGGGTGTACCCGATCAAGTCCTGCAAGGGGGTGCCGGTGCCCGAGGCCGAGGCCACGGCGCTGGGGTTGCGCGTGGGACACCTGTGCGACAGGTAGGCGGGAGGGCGGGAGAGGGGCCCTGGGGACACCTAGGGCGACTCTGAGCGGCTGCCTTCCGCGCGGTCCCTCCAGGATGGATCCTGAGAGCACAAATTCTTTCCCTCTTCCGCCCCCTGCCCCGCCCCCTCACTCCCTCCTTCCTTTTGTACTGAGGATTGAAGCCAGGCCTTCACACTGAGCTTCATCCTCAGCCCTTTTTATTTTGAGACAGGCTCTCACTGAGTCACTAAGTTGCTCACACTGGCCTTGAGGTTTAGATTCTCCTGCCTCAGCCTCCCATAGTGCTGTGATTACAGGTGTGCCACCATGCCCAGCTCTGAAACCAAACTTCTTAATGTCTATCTCAGAGGAGGCGGCCTTCAGGACATCGGTCGCCATCACTTTGTTTTAGTGACCTATCCTTGGATCCTGGGAAGCTTGGACAGGAGGACCCCGCCCTCTGTGAGTGCCCCACGGCTGGGCAGAGGAGGGGACAGCAGTCAGGTGGCTGCCCCTGCTGGATGCATTTGTCCCCGTCCCCTCCAGCGCAAATGCAGATAAAGAAGCTGGTGTCCAGAGCCCGCAGCCGTGTGCCAGGGCTGTGGGGTCCGGAGCCCGAGGAAGGCTTGTGTCCTGCCTGGCCCCCCGGAAGGCTTGGTGTCAGCGTCCCCAGCCAGGGCCTGCCCAGGACAGGCCAGGGACGTGCAGTTGAGAGAAACCGGGTGAAGGCAGGGAGGGGGCTGCAAGGCTGCTCAGGGAGAAGGAGGGCTCCTGGGGTGGCTTACAGCTGGGGGTCGCCCAGGTGAGGCCTGAGCCTAACGGCCTCATCACATCAGGCGACCCGGGGACGAAGACCCTCGTCTCGGGCTGTGCTCGTCCTCTGGGGCGGTCAGCGTGGGCTCTGCGCGGCCGGGTCATCGCGCAGGCGCGAACGGGCACAGGGGTCGGGCGCCTCCAGCAGGGGCGATGCGGAAGCCGGGTGCCGATGACACCAGCAGGACCCAGAGGGACGGATGCCTCGAGAAACTGTGACACGAAGGCCTGCAGCAGGCAGTGTCATCGCGGAGACAGAAGCGGGTTGCGGTGACCCCAGGGAGGGCGCAGGGCGGCGGTCGCCCCGCGGGTGCGGAGTGTCTGTGGGCGGGCGCGGAGGTTTCGGAAGTGGGTGGTGGCGGTGCTGGCACAGCACTGCGTGGACCCGATGCCCCCGGGCTGTGCGCTTCAGTCTGGTCAGACTGGAGAAGTTAAAATCACGTGTCGAAAAAACCCATCCTCTGCTGAGGGACACTGGACTTGTAACGGCTCGGGGACCCTGGGTGACACTCCAGGGAATACCAAAGCGCCAGTGTCCGCTTGGGTCTCTGTTTTCAGTTCTCTGGGGTCTGTACCTGGGGACAGGCCAGGTATTCTGTTTGTGCACATTTTACCGGGGTTAAGGTAGATAGGAAGAAGTACCGGCACGCTGGGTAGCTGCTGTACCGGGGACCCCGAGGCTTGGGGGTTAGAGTTGGTCCGGACATTGGCAGCCACGGAGGGATTTGCAGTGAGGGACCCTGAGGTCAGACTTGCTTTTTAGGAAGAGCAAGCAGCTGTTATTGCCAGAAAGAACTAGAGAAAGAAGACTTACTGAACCTTACACCAAGCACCTGAGGACAGGCAAGGCTGCGTGGTGTGGGGCGAGGGGCAGGCAGGGGAGGCTGGTACTAAGCCTGGTTTCTGGCCTTGCTGTGAGACTCAGCCATGGCAACCTGCTGGGGGCGAGGCGAGGCAGATCTTTTTTTTTTTCTGGTACCGGGAATCGAACTCACGACCTCGCGCTTGCCAGGCAGGCGCTGCACCCCTGAGCTAAATCCCCAGCCCGAGGCAGATCTTTAATGACCTGAAGTCTCTGCTGTTTTCCTTCCTGTCTGGAGCTCCCAAAAGACTGGCTCAATTCTATCATTGTTACCACTGAACTGAAATGCCTGGGTGTGTTTCACTTCCTGGGGAGCCTGAGAGGTCACCTGAACCAATGCGTTCTTTTTTCTGGAAACACTTCTTTCTGTTGCTCCGATTTCTCCACTTATTTATTTATTTATTTATTTTTTAGGAAATTCCTCTAAAGCCAGGAGAAAACAATACTGATCAGATAGACAGTAGACTTTTTAGCAAATGGCAGAATTCACAGCAGTGAACATTGAAACACTGTAACTGTAGTGGAGCACACCTCGTTTTCCAAAGGTGCGGATGGGCTTGTCCAGGTGTGATGCAGCAGGCGCTGCTCACGGGAGCCCTGTGCTCTGCGGGCAGCACCAGGGAGGTGGTTTTTCTTCCGTCACCCTACTCCACTCCCTGCTGGCTACTGGGCCACCAGCTTCCTCCTGCCCTTGAGCTCCTCAGTCCTTCTTGTGAACCATAGTCTTCTCGTCTCCTGAGGCAGGGTTAATGAAAGTGATTGGGGTTCCTGGCAATTGAGATGAAAGTATACTTTTTTCATTTTTATTTGTTCGTTTTACATTTTGTACTGATTATTTTAATTGTACAGCTTTCCGGGGTCCCAGCTGATGATTCGGTACATATGTGGAGTGCACATAGACAAAATCAGTAGTTAACATTTCCACCTCCTTGTGTGATAATTGCACGTACTTACGCCGTTCACTGCCATGTTTCGGTACGTACACATGACATGTACTGATGAAGTCAGGGTCATTAACAGCGTTAGTTTGTGTTTAGAGCCTTCAAGCTCTTTTCTTCAAATAGTCATAAAATATAAACCAGATTGTTGTGAACAGTGGTATCTGTCTGTGTCATAGAACATTAGAACTTATTCCTGCAATGCTGCTGCGGCTTGGTACACATTATCCATCTCAAAAAATGTCTCATACGTGTTTGCGGTACATGATAAATGCCCCCGCCGTGAGAAGTCGATGCCTGAACACACATCTTAATCCTTTTCCTTCCAGCCATCCGCAGAAGGTCTCCTTTCCTATTTCTTGTCAGCCCCTAACATCTCACGCATGTTCTGCGTATCCTCTGTTGAAATGTTCGTTCCTTTGAAATGTTCTGGCAGAGTCAGTTTGCCTGCTGCCGTGTTGAAGCTTGTCTCACACACACACACACACACACACACAGTGGCTTCCAGAGAGGACATTAGAGGTGACTGTGATGATGGTGGCTCTGGAAGACAGGCTGCCCGTGGTTTGGGGTGGCCCAGACACCTGTGTTTTGAAATTGTCAGGTTTTGGCTTGTGATCAACGAGGACGACAACATGGTCACCGCTCGCCAGGAGCCTCGCATGGTGCTGATCTCCGCGAGCTGTGATGATGACACCCTGACGCTTAGTGCCGCCTTCACCAAGGACCTGCTGCTGCCCATCAGAACGCCGGCCACCAACCCAGTGCGCACGTGCAGGTGAGGACGGGCAGGCGCTGCGCAGACGTGTGTGCAGTTGTGAGGAGCTGTGGACACCGGGGAGTCCTGCTGGAACGTCACTGACCCTCGGCGATGGGTCTGATGGATGGTATGCAGGGCTCAGCGCCCAGGCTCCTGTGGACAGGCAGGAGGAACCAGGAAGTAGCTTCTGAGCTTGTGTTGGGACAAAAGGCGTAGGAGTCTCGGGTGGAAGCCAGGCTGGGGCGCACCTGCAATCCCAGCACTCAGAGTTTGAGTTGGGGGGTGGTAGTGAGTTCGAGGCCAGCCTGGGCTACACGGTGAGTTCAAGGCCAGCTTGAACTGCATAGCGAGACCTGTCTCCGAAACACACATGCACACACACACACACACACATGCGCACACACACACACGCACACACACACACACACACACACGAGCCCCATGTGGAAACAGTGAGAGTAAAAGCATACAGACAGGTCATCAAGAGAAACCAGCACCCTGGGTGGGGTGGCGGAGCACAGCGTTCTGGAGCGGATGAGGTCTGTGCACCGTCAAGGACTTTTCCCGTTTCACTGGGAAAACTGAACGCCTCCCGAGTGTGAGTCCAGAAAGGGGCTGTAAACCGCAGACCGAGCACGTGCCACATTAGGCCAACGTTTGATCCCAGTGAGAGGAAGTGCTGCGAGGGCCGAGAGCACCTGCGCCCCGCAGAGGAGCGACCCTAACTGAGCAGCGCCGGCGAGGCGGATGCCCAGCCCAGGGCGCCGTGCTGGGCCTGAAAGCCCTGTCTTCAGCCCCACAGGGCTGCAAGGAAGCCTTTGTAGGAGCTGGCAGGAGCTGCCATAGGCCACACCGTGAGCTCTCCGCAGTCCTTGTTCTGTCATGCGCTGCTTTACGTTGATCTGCTTGAAGAGCATCTCGGACGTACTTATTTCCAAAGAAACCTTCATGGCTACCTGTGCGATTTTCCAGCCGTAGCAGGTAACCAACACAAGTATGGGCCACGTGAAATGCTTCCGAATTCCAGCGTGAAACTGTGGCTCGTGGAAGCCGTGGACTTGAGGGCTGCTCTTTCTTCGTTACGGGAAGCGTTATCAGAAGCTGCCGAGTTAAAGCTTTGTCCAACACAGGCCTAGCGCCTGCGGTGCCAGCACTGGGGAGAAGGAGGCGAGGGGCTCGTGAGCTCAAGGCCAGCCTGGGTGACGTAATAAGAGACACATAAGAAGAGAAAAGCAGTAGAAGTCTGTGTACCACTCCCCTGGAGGGAATCGCTTTGTCCCTGCGCAGGGACCATCGTTAATGACATACCCAGGGGCACGTGCAGTTGTCTGGGCTCCCGCAGGGAATCCGGCCGGCACCAGCCTCTTACTTCCTGCACAGCTGTGCAACTCCCCGAGCCCAGCAGTGCTGCAACGGCTGTGTGTTGGGATGGGGCACTTTGAGCCCTACAGATGTGCTAATAGCGATCAAACCCAAGTTGATTCTTACTGTTACTTGCAGAACATTTTCACGCAGGTCTCTGTTTCATTATCAGTGTACCGAGTGTATGTTGGGTGTGGAGAGACACGGACTGCATGTGACCAGGCTGGGCCTTAAAGAAAGGAGGCTGTAGGGAGTCGTCTCACCGGTAGGGTTGGATGCACCACCCACTACTTTTACCGCTAAAAATATTACAGTCAAGCCAGGTAAGGTGGCACACGCCTGTCATCCCAGCGCTCTGGGACAGCCATGGAGAGCCGTGCTGTTAGCAGAGATTTCTGGTCAGTCTCTGTCTCGGTTACTTTTGTTGTTGCTGAGACAAAATACCCGACACCCAAAGTGAGAGGAGGAGGGGTTTATTTCAGCTCACAGTTTGTAGAGGTTTCAGTCCATAGTCAGCTGGCTCCAAGGCAGAGGGGCATCGCAGAGGAGAAACAGTCCGTGGCAGGGCAGGCAGGAGGCAGCAAGCAGGTGAAGAGCAAAGCAGCAGCAGCAGCCTGGCTTCTTTCTGTCCCTTTATATCCCACTCACACCCAGGGTGGGGCACCCTCAATCCCAGCATCACACATCCTAGAACCAGCCTCCTCTGAAAAGCCCCACCTGTGCCCACGTGAGTTTTGGGGGGATATGTAGGCACACAGGGAGGGGAACAGCAATCGGTTTTTAAACCAGTGCAGCCCAGGCTTACAAAGCACTTCTGTGTCCGTTTGGGATACACTGTGGCTTGGAGTGGAGCGGTACCCTCTGTAGACGAGGGATACCAACAGCGTTTCCACTGGCCTGGGTGCAGGACACAGTCCAGGGTGCCCAGGTCCTCAGCCGTGCCACTGTGCCTGTCCCTCACAGGGTGCACGGCCTGGAGGTGCAGGGCCGGGATTGCGGCGAGGAGGCTGCGCAGTGGATAACCAGCTTCCTGCAGTCGAAGCCCTACCGCCTGGTGCACTTCGAGCCCCACATGCGGCCCCGGAGCTCCCGCCAAGTCAGGGATGCGTTTGGGCCTTCGGACCAGGTGAGCGACGTGTCTCGGTGGGCAGGTGGACGTGGTCACCTCAGCACTGCTGACTCAGTGGATCCCTGCTGCACTTGGGGCTGTGGTTCTCCAGGCAGTGGACCCAAAGGAAGTCTTCCCAGGGAAGCAGCGTATGGCTTCTCAGTGTGCGGGGACCCTGGTGCATTTTGGTGCTGAGAGCTGCTCAGAACCGTTCTCCACTGGTCCTCTCTCCATTGGTAACTGCATGTGGAGTCCACGGTGTCCGTAGGGTGCAAGTGCACGTCACAGCACAGTGGGGCTGTTGGGTGCGGAGGGACACGGACCGCGCATGACCAAGCTGGGCCTTAAAAGAAGGAGCTATAGGGACTCATCTCGCCGGGAGGATTGGTAGCACCATGCACTACTTTTACCATTAAAAATATTACAGTCAAGCCAGGAAGGATGGCACACACCTGTCATCCCAGCGCTCTGGGAGGCCGAGGGCGGGAGCAACACAAGTTTGAGCCCAGTCTGGGCAATTTAGTGTCAAAATAAATGATGATAATAATAATAATAATAAAAGGTTGTGGATATAGGCCAGGGTGAAGGCTCTGGGTTCAGTGCTCAGCACTATAAAATATATATGGTCATCAGAAGTATTTAACATTAGCTTTCAGGTTGCATGAAAAATAGTGTCTCTGGGTGGAATTAGTGAACATTTTGCTCCAGCATAGCAAGGTGATCAACCCGACCAGCTTATTACACAGGGGAGCAATTGGCACTCAGACAGGTGACTCGGTGTGCCCAGGGCATGTGCCGGGCAGCTCCAGGGTCCGCAGCTGGGCTCCCCTCACCTCTCCATGCGAGTCTGAAGGCTGCTTAGGGTTTCCAGTCACTGTGACTTTCCTAGGAAAAGACCTAGAGAAACAGAAGGACTGTGGCTGCGGGGGAGGGGCCCCGGGACCTAGACGCGGGTGCCCGAAGACGTTTAACGCCGTGTCCTGTGCCGGGGCTTGTCCCTGTCAGGTCGCCTACTCAGATGCCAGCCCCTTCCTGGTCCTTTCTGAGGCCTCCCTGGCCGATCTGAACTCCAGGCTGGAGAAGGCAGTGAAAGCGACTAACTTCCGGCCCAATATTGTCATCTCTGGATGCGGCGTCTACGCAGAGGTAACATTTTGTCCCCGTTGCCTCTTTCCTTAGATTTGACTTCTTTCTTAAGGTGCAGAACGGTTCTGTCCCACACAACAGTTCAAGCTTTGGATTCCTGGAGCCCCCCGAAGTGCAGACACATGAGTGGGGTACAGGGGGAGGCAGGCTCGCCTTCCTCACACAGGGGTCTGGGGCTGAGGCCTCTCGGGGACTTCTGAGCCGGCAGGGAGGTTTCGAGCCAGATTTGCTGAGGATGGACGTGTGCTCTGGCTGGGCCTCTGGTGGAGCCGGTCACCGCTCAGTCAGTGGCTCCCTTGGGAACACGCGCAGTCACGGCAAGGGTGCGGTGGGGCTGGAGAGTGACTGCAGCGGCCTCGACGGCCCCAGACACTTGCGGTGCTGCCTGGTCAGGCCTCAGGTGTCTGCCCTGCGGCTGAGTAGCCAGAGCCTGCCCCTCGGTCTCGGATGTGGCTCGGGATTCCAGCTGGCGTCTGGCCTTTGTAACAGTCACAGATATTTAATTGGATTTTCTTTCTCACTGTCCAAGGAGGCAGCAGCTAGTGGTCCAGAGGCTTGGTGAATGGCCAGCAGCTATGGACACTTGGAAAAGGTTCAGGGGTTCTGGCCACACCCCGTATTTGTGTACAGAAAAGTAAGGCAGAGGGACAGGAGGGCGAGCTTCACCTGTGCCCCGCTCCCTGAGCCCCGCGTGCTTCAGCGGGACGTGGAGGGTCGGACTGGCCTCGGAGGGGTGGCAGGAGCCGCTGGGGAGGTGGGGGCCCAGGCAAGAGAAGCACAAGTTGGAGCCCAGCCTGGGCAATTTTGCAACTGAGCAAAACCCTGTCTCGAAATACAAAATGCAAAAGTGCTGAGGACGTGGCTCAGTGCGAAGGCTCTGGGTTTGAGCCCGGGTATGGACAGGAAAATGCCTGCGGTCTCGCTGTCAGTGAGCTCTGAGCTGGGGCTTGCGGGAGGGGGAGTCCCCAGGCCACATCGGGGAGACCAACGCCCTCCTGCCTCTTCTAGGACTCCTGGGACGAGCTCCTTATTGGGGACGTGCGGCTGAGGAGGGTGATGGCCTGCTCCAGGTAAGGCTCCCGCCTGTCCCTGCAGGGGGCCGGGCAGGGCCGCTCTGCTGCCCTTGGCTGACGCACCACGTGTGTCCAGGTGCGTCCTCACCACGGTGGACCCGGACACCGGCGTCATGGACAGGAAGGAGCCGCTGGAGACCCTCAGGAGGTAGGACGAGGCTGGGGGCCACACTGAAGGCCACGCTCGGTGTGAGGGCGGCAGTGGGCATCCATGGGGCAGGGTCAGTGGGGCATTCACGGAGCCCGCCCTGCTGCTTCCCCTTAACCTGGCCAGGGTGACAGGTGGCTTCCTCCTGTCCAGGTGGCGCAGACCTGCCTGGGCCTCAGCCTGGTCACTGACAGTGAGGGCACGGAGAGTGTGGTCTCGGCAGCCTCGCTGGGGCCCAGCCCCTGCCCTGGGGGCGCGGGGGCCTCTGCTGCCACTCCTTTGGTGTGGTTTTGGCGTGCAGCGTGGGGGAGCCAGGGCCCGCGCTACCCCGCTTGGTGTCGAGCGGCCCAGGGGGAGCCCTTGTTGAAAGAAGATGAACTGAGGAAGTCTGCTTTAAATTAATCTGTAATTTAATAGTTTCCATTCCTACAGACATATTATATATATTTTATTTCCTTGAAAAAAAAAAATGGCCACAGAAGGCCCAGGTGTGAGACAAGGCTGCGTTCTGTCCCCTGAACCGTGATCAGCAGGCTGCTTGCAGTACCTCCTCTTTCCCACAAGGGGTCGCCAGTGGCCCTGCCTGGTCTTCCCTGCTCCTTAGGGTGGTGTTTGCACCTCTGCGGGTGGTGCGGGAGGGTGGTTGGATCAGGGAGACCCCGCAGCCTCACAGGCCAGTGGAGCTCGTCCACCTGGCAGCCTGGGCCAGCCGAGGTCCAATTCTGCACTCCGGGCTCTTGCACACCTGTCCCGACAGCAGTGTGGACGGCACTTGCGGCCCAGGTGACACACCTGTGGGTCTGCACCTTTGTGGTGGGCTGGGCTCCTCTACTCAGTGACCTGGGGGCCGGGAGCCCGTTGGGAGGGCTGGATGCAACCTGAGTGTGCCCCGCTCCCCTGGGACCTGTGGGAGGCGGGAAGAAGGCAGGTGACCCGCCGACCTGGTGCAGGCGCCACCTGGCACTTACACCCGGGTCTGGGCAGGTCGGACAGCACAGCAGCACCAGAGACGGGCACGACAGGCCAGCACGAGCTTCCGCCTGGGCGCGTGGGGGGTAGGGCCAGCGGGCGCCACGCTCCCACACGTGAGGGGTTCCTGCCCGATGGGCTGCAGGAGCGGCCAGGGGCCCACGCCAGCTCCGTGCCGCCCTGCCCCGGCCGGAGGAGCCCCGACCTGTGTGCCTGTGTTGCCCGCTGAGCGGAGCTGAGCTGGGCTGGGCACGACCTGGCTGCCCGAGGCCCACGCCCCTGCAGTCGCTGCGCGGGGGCAGCAGTCCCAGTTTTCATTTTCTTTTATTCATTTATTTAGCCAACAGCGCTTTTCCAAGGGGCTGCAGTATGTGGACCCCCTGCCAGGATGCGGGAGGTCCGCGGGGCTTAGGGCAGTGCCCTCCAGTGCTCACGGTGGGAGCTGCGGGGCTCGGGAGGAGCTCCTGACCCACCCCGATTTCCTCTGTCGATTCTCATTTGGAGAATGGCACTGAGTTGTTGCAATAGCTTTACTTTATCTTTTAAAAATTTTCTATTTTAAATGGAAGACAGAGCGAAGTTAGTGCTTCCAGAAACAGTCTTTTAAGTCTGACAACGACATAAGGGGGGCGCAGGGCTGGACCTCCTGTCCCCCATCTGCTCCTGTGCCTTCTTCCTGCACCCTTGGCTTTCCGCCTGGTGAATATGCTCCCACACAGGGTGTCCCTCGCCCACACGCTCATCAAGTCAAGCAGCCGAGGGTCGCAGTAACGTTCCTGGCCGGCACTGGCATGAGCAGGACGAGGGGGTGGGATGTGCGTCTGCGCCCCAGGGCTCTCTGCCCTGCAGGACAGAGAGGCTTGTGCCCCGGCACTCTGGACAAGCCACGAAAGATGCGGGCAGGGAGCAGTGACTCCTAGCCTGGCTCCTGCCCTGATCAGGTGGCATCTGTGTCTGGAGGGAAAAGTGGAATGTGAGACCCTTTGGGACATCAGGAGGGGACCCCACAGGGATCACAGAGCTGGAGGACACAAAGCGAGGTGAAAGGGCATGGAGGAATCAAGTGGTGCTGCGTAGGCCCAGAGAAGGCACAGGGTCCAGGGTCTGGCATCGGCTGGAGCCAGCAGGAGGTCTCAGCCAGGCTGGAGTGGGAATGTGCTTCTCAGGCACTGGGGAGCTACTGAAGGTTTTGGAGCTGGAATGATAAGGCCAGAGCCAGATGAGGATCATGTGGTCAAGAACTTGAAGGGCCGGGTGCAGGGGGAGATGCGTGGTTTATTAGGAAGTCACGACATTTCCTCCCATGCAGTTCTGAGAGTGCTGGAAGCAAGAGCACAGGGATTAGAGAAAGTGCGGGAAGCCAAGTGGTGCTGTGCAGGAGGGAGCTCTGGAAGGGGCAGCAGGGACAAGCCAGGCAAGGGGGAGGGGCCCCGCGCAGCTCGCCCGGGGACTGGCAGGACCTAGGCCAAGTGACAGACATGGAGGGGTCAGGAGGACGCTGAGAGAAGTGGAAGGTGGTCAGGCCTGTCCAGACAAACCATCTTCTCACCTAATGCAGACAAAGAAACGTTCCTGCAGAGATGCAGGGCGACGCGGCCCTGGGCTGTGCTCCTGTAGTTGCACCCGGGCCGATGGTTGGCTGGCCAGCTCCAGAGGCACCGTCTGGCCACCAGGCCATGCATGTGGCACCCAGGGATGGGCTCTGCCTCAACCTGTGAGCAGCGCCAGCCTTTTGGGCGTGTGCCTCTGTCAGACTGTGGCTCAATGCTGTTTCTCCTGTTGCAGTTACCGGCTGTGTGACCCTTCGGAACAGAAGTTATACGGGCAGTTACCCCTCTTTGGACAGTACTTTACTCTGCAAAACCCAGGGACAGTCAGAGTGGGAGACGCCGTGTACTTGCTGGGCCATTAGTGGGAGTCCCATGTCCTGGAATATCAGATGCCTTCCTAATGTCCTAAAAGATGACAACATACAGCACAACACCCCATATCCACAACTGAAATACAAGGTTTAATTGGAGCTTACAGTTTCAAGAGACCCAGTTCATAGTCATCAAGTCTGTGTCTTCTTTGCAGGTCCAGATCTGCAATTCCTGCATTTTTTTCTAAGGATGATTAGATTAGAGCTAGATGAAGACAGATGAGACTTCCTGGGTGTTAGGGTTTAGATCTGAAATGCCCATCAAACATCTCGGGTGTGTAGTGGAAGGTGATTGGCTCATGAGGGCATGGTGCTCACCAGTGGACTTGTCCATCAGTGAATCCCCTGGACATGTCTTAACCCAGTCGGGTTGATGCGTCATGGTTAACCATCACAATCCATCCTTCTCACCTTGACAGCTGACATCTCCTTCAACCACACTTAACCTCTGAATAAAGACAATTGCAAGTTCGTAGTTATGCCTCACATGATACAACCTTCTACATACAATCTAAACTACACTAATTCCCTCCGCAAAGACTCAAAACGACCAAAATTTTTCAAAAGTCAAAGCCCAAGTCTTTTCTGAAACTCGAGGCAAATTCTTAGCTGGAACCTTTGTAAAAAATAATGAATAAAAAAGAAGTTGTATAATCCTAAAATACCGTGACTGTCAATCTTGATCTGTCAACTTCATTTGCTTAAGAAACACCTAGCAGATTAGTAAAGTGGGCTCCCGGGTGTGTCTGGGTGAGTTCTGGAGTTGTGACCTCAGACACTATCTATGGACCCTAGCCCTTTTCTCTCTGACACTGTTCCCCCGCTCTGACTCCTGGTCATCCATGAGGTGAGCAGCTCTGGACCACTGTTCCCTTCCAACCTTGAGGTTTCTACTTGAACTCTGATACCATGAATTGAATCTCTTGAAACTGTGAGCTAAATTAAACTTCTTCTTTAAGTTGTGGATATTGGGTATTGCGTCTCAAGGACAGGAAAGCTGGCTAATACAGAAAATTGGTTCCTGAGTAAGGTTCCTGCTGTGCTTATACCTCACCATGTGGTTCAGAAGCCTTTGGAACTGGTCTGCAGGAGGTATTTGGAAAAGTTTGAAGGTGCCATCTAGAGAAGCCTTACAGTGCTGAAAGCAGAGCCAGCTGGGTGGGTCTGCTCTGAACTCAGAACAGATTGCTGATAGGAATGCACACCGAAAAGCCAAGCTCAGAAGGTTTCAGTTGAGAGCAAAGAATCCACTGGCATTTGGACTACAGGTCATGTATAGTACACTCTGGCAGAAAGTTTGTCTACATTTTGCTTGTGTCCTCAGACTTTGCAAGGGACTTAGCTTAAGGGGAGTGGACTAATTTATCTGGTGGAGGAAATTTTAAAACATCCTAACATTCAGGCTGTGGCATAGTGGCTGCTGGCTTCCATTAGCCAAATTTGTAGTGAGAGTCAGGGGCAAAATGTGGAACAGAGAATTTGAAACACTTATATTTTGGCTGGAAGGAACCATGTATAAAGTTGGTCCAGAGGAAGTGTGGCTGCTAAAGATTATAGCTATTAAAAGGAAACCAAGTAAGTTATACCAGGGCCTGAGAAGAAAGAGGACTTGAGGGAACCTTGGCACAGCAAGACCCTGCTTGCTACAGTTCTCGAAAGTACAAAAGTTATCAATCTGTTCCAGAACAGCTTGCTAGGAAATTGGCTCCCCAGAATTCATGTCACTATGCTCAGCCATCCAGGCACTCAGAGACAACTACAGCTGTAGTCCAAGAAGGCCTGGCTACTGCTTCTGTGACAGCAGGTCTTGCCATTATCCATATGGTGCTGGTTTTACTGGTGTGCAGAACATGAGTGTTGTGGGGTCATGAAGGCTTACACCCAGATTTCAAAGGAAGGCCTGGGAGGCCAGGCAGGGAGCCCCTGAAAGAGCAGTGTGTGAAGCTGTTGGAATGAAGCCTTCTGGAAACTGGACATAACAGGAATGTGGATTATGAGCTGAGCAGAACTGCAGGTTATGGGTGGCACCAGCCCACAAGAGAGGCCAGGTGGGCTGCAGCTGGCAAGGCGATAGGCGTGGGGCCGCTGAAGCTCTTTGGAACACTCAGCT